AAAGGATTTTTGTGAAATTTGAATATTTTTGCGCGAAAGATAGCTCCTAAAACGTGTTTTTTTAAATAACATTTTTTCTAGAGATGTGCAAACAAAAATTTACAATATTTAGAAATGTGCAAACAAAAATTTACATTGTTTAGAAATGTGCAAACAAAAATTTACATTGTTTAGAAATGTGCAAACAAAAATCTATTGATTAAGTTAATTAAAAATCAATTTTGCACAAAAAATTTTTGGGGGTTAATGTGAATTTGACCCCTCCAAAAGTTTTTTTTAAATAAATGTACTAGAGGTGTGTAAACAAAAATAACAGATGTGCAAACATGTAATCAATGTGCAATCGAATCGTTTACAACTATTTAAAAAATTTTTTTTACGTTTCGATCGCACATTGTTTGCACATCTGTTTTTTTTTGTTTATTAATAAATTTATTAATAAAATCTAAAGGCGCATCTACATAAGATGCAGAACGTAGATTGCAAGACACAACACAATGCGATAACCATTCAAAACGATAAAACAAAGTAGTAAATGTTTTTCTCATTAAATGAATGAATTTATTAAATGAATTGATTAAAAAATCAAGGTATTTCTTTACAAAAATTCTTTGATTTTTTAATTTATTAGCAACAATAAAATTATTAACTATAATTTACTTTATTATTAATTTCTTACTATTAAATATTATAATAACGATATAGAAACTACTACATTTAGATGATACAGATTAGAAAAACGAAAGAAACATTTAAATTAGCAACTCATTTGCGGTTGCTGTGTACAATAAGATCGTTTTGTTGACATGGCGTTCATCGCACAAATGTCTATATGCATGACATCATCAAATAAGTACAAGATGGTGGACAGAAGTCGTGGTGGAGAGTATTATATAGGTCTCTACTTTGTATTTGTTTGTATCTTTTAAGAAACAAATGAAATATAAAGTATAGTACAAACGAAATACAAATAATGTTATAAATTTTTAATCTTTGCAAAATGATAAAAAAACACCTTATTCACACCAGTATTTTGGGTTTCTTTGATAACATTAGACTTTAGACATTTAGACATTTAGACTTAATAGACGAGTAAGACTAAAGAAATAAAATATCTAAAAATTAAAGATAAATCATTCATAGAATTCATTAATCGTTAAACAAGTACAAAAATACAATCTAATGATTTTTTATGTTTACATTAAAAATTTTTAATTATGATATAAAAAATTTATAATTATTTATAAAAATTTATATTAAAATACAAGAATATGTGTGTCTATATATAATAATATAGTTTCTTACTGAAAAGTTTAAAATAAAATTTTTTTAGAAATCGTAAAATTATTCTAATTACAGTTCAATATAAATAAATACAATAAAAATAGATAACAAAATATTTGTCTTTTTTAATATAAATCAAAATTATATTTTTCTAGCTTAATATTTTAAAATAATAGAACCCAATAAAAATTGAAATTATTAAAGAATTTATGATTATAAGAGTAAGTTAATAATTAAATAATTATACTGATTTAAACAACAAAAGTATACATATAAAAATACAATTTGCAATAATACAATTAATAATTAAATTAGTAATTTGTACTATATATTATATTATATATTTATATTAAAATATTATAGATAAATATTAATATTATGGATAAATATAATGTAATTAGAAATAATTACATTATTACAAGGTATCCTAATTTGAAAAATCCACATAAATATCTCTCAAACAACGCAGAGAAAAATATTATATTTCAGATAAAAGTTGTAGAATTTCGAGGGGGAAAGAAGTTGGTACTACTGTCTTTTTTTCAAAAGACAATTTTTATAGTATATTAGCTAACAAATGCGGGGGATCGTAAATCGGCCGAGTGCGGAAGTTTGGCGCACAAGGCGATGTGACAATCCGCACGATCGGCCGATTTATGACCCGCACATGTTGGCTACGATATTTTGTGTGACCGGTGCGTGGAAAGAGAGCCCTTTCTAAAATCCCATCATGTGCGCAAAGAGCGACTTTTCCCGCGCCGGTTGCACAAAAGTTATTTAAAGATCCCTTATGTTTTTTAAATGGAACTACCTTAATTTTGTTATATAAAATCAAAATTCCTCACAATATTTACTATGAAAAGTTATAAGGATAAGAAGGCCAAAAAGTGAATAGTTTACGATATATTTTTAACTTTAAAATAGTTGGCATATGTCAAACTATTGAAGCATTTAGCAATAACAAGCAACAAAAAGTTACTCGTCGTTACTCCAGTGAGGACATACATAGCTTAAGAGAGCTAAGAGCGGAAGAGGGATAATTGGGCATAGGCACTTCATGCTTTTGAACACCTATGAATTATGCCAGAAAAAAACGTCTAAAAATGCTCCTATTATGCGCGAAAAATCTAACAATTATGCGTTAATTATGCGTGTCAAATCGTTATTTATGAGAATTTATGTTATTTCAATCTTTCACGTAATATATAACAACCTATGACGACTTATAAAATTGTATGAAAAATGGGAAATATATAGGAATTGAAGCATTTTAACAACTTTTTTCAAACAAAAAATCTAAAAAACTACGTATTTTAATATGGGAGAAAGAAAGGACATACAAGACAAAAATAAAGCAAGTATAAATAGTTGGAGTATACAATTTTGAAAAATATGATTTGAAAAAAAAAAGTTTTTCCCAAATCCGAGTATTTTAAATACAAAAATTGCACTTTTGTGGATAATTATGCGAAAATCGCCTTATGCTGCGCGGAAAGTGTTATTATGCGTTAATATGCGATAGAAATATATTAATATTAAGTATATATGCATAACTATTAATATTAATGCTTAAAAACAATTTTTGACATATTATGCGATTATGCTTAAAGCCTAAAGTGCCTATCCCTAGGGATAATATAGCCACGAGGAGCTTTGTCTCCGCAAGAGAGATTGCGTGTGGGGAATGATCCCCGCATATAAAATATTCTCATTTTCAGGATAATAATCCTCGGTACAACTGTGCATATCTCGCGTTGCGCAACGGACTAATTTCGGGAAACGCGTACGTTTTCAATCCTGGATCATAGCTTCTCATTCACCGAAGTACTTTGTTAAGGCGCCTTATCAAAAACTTTCACTGAAGTAATTAGTTGCTGCGTAGTCGCAGCGCAGTCGCTGCGCTAAAAATTTTATATGCAATCTTTAATATGCAGCAATTGATTCCTTTCATAATTTTGTGTATAAAAGTGTTGAGATAAGATTAAAAATGAATATTTTATGAGCTATTTCATAGTTTATGTAAAATTATATTAAACTGAAGTATAAAATATTTTATATTAGTGAACAATTGCTATCCATTGAGTTTAATAAATTCTATCATTAATAAAAGACTTAAGTTGTTGCAGCTGAGATCGCAGGATAATTACCCGTTGAGAAGAAAGAATTTGACACATCTAATATTATCACTTTTCCTTTTGTAAAAGAATTAAGTGACGATGTTCAAAGAATATTTAATGAATGTGGTCTTAGGGTTGTACATACGGTCAATAATAGATTAGATGGATTAATTAAAAGGGGAAAAGATAAACTACCTGCCTATAAAAGAACAAATTTGGTTTAAAAAATTTCGTGTATCAATTGTGATTCCTATTATATAGGGCAAACCAAACGTCATTTGGAAACGCGAATAAAAGAACATATTTCTAATATTATAAAACATGTGTCAAATTATTCGGTTATTAGTAAACATAAAATGCTTTTTAACCATAAATTTGACTGAGCAAATGTTTCCATTTTACATAATGAAGCAAATGTAAAGAAAAGAGAAATAAGTGAGATGATTTTCATCAAAAAACAAAAGAATTCTATTAATCTTCAAAGGGACACTGAAAATTTAAATGAGATGTGTGATACCATTCTCAATTTATTTTAGATTTTTCATATTTTTCATATTTAGTATTTAATCTATATTTTCTCATGTTTAATGATTTTTTCTAAGACATACTTTATATATATATCTTATATTAGCTATTTATGAGTTTTTATAACCAGCTCTTTTTACATATCTGTTTATTTTTATTTTCATTTTTATTATGTTGACTTTTATTTTTCTTTTTAAAAATATTACTTAACTGTTGTCTTGTCTTGGTTGTGGTTTATTGCAGTGTTTTTTTTTTCAAAGTGAACACTTATTTTCCGTAATTATTAAATATCTCTCTCCCTCTCCCCCTCTCTTTCTCTCTCGCTCTCGCTCTCTCTCTCTCTCTCTCTCTCTCCTTACCATGTCAGTTACATTCTGATCTCACATCAAAGAAATTGTCACTATGATCATTTAATCTTACCACCTCAATTTATTAACAGGTATTATTTGCCACAATATTATAACGACTATTTATTTTTAACGAATACTCTTTGTAACCTACATTATACATTGTAATATTTCAGCCTGAAGAGGACCTAATTACGGGTCGAAACGTAGCTTCTTTTTTTAATAAAAGAATTATTACTTATAGCCAATGTTGGTCAATCGAGTCTACTTTACTTTGTATAAAATATTTTGTCAACTATTTATTTTTTGCCAACTTACCTTCATAACTTTTTACAGCAAGTCTGGCGAGAAATTGATTTTATATAAAAATTAAGGTAGTTTTATTTTTAAAAAAGCATAGGGTGCTTTTCAGCAAGGAAGATACAGATAGACACTGTGTAACACTAGTGTAACACAATTGAGTACAAAGCGACTTAGCTAAAGAGTAAGGCTAGCTGAGTAAGATTGTGTTATATTATGTAATAATAGAAAAACACTTGTGTCGGATACAGTATGACTTTGTGTCGCCTGTGTTACTTGCTAAAAAGCATAAATAACCATAAATAACCTTCAAATAATCTTGAAAGTCGGCTTTTAGGAATAAGTCAGTAGGGCCAACTTTTTTCCCTCTCGAAATCCTACAACTTTGAAATGTTTTGACATTTTGTCCTAAAATGCATTGCTCAAGAGATACTTGTGCGAATCTTTTAAAAGGAATATATATAACCTCATTACTAATTATACAAAATCTTCTAGGCATTTTATAATTGTGGAATTCTGTAGCCTGTCATTATACAACTATCAAGGCCGTTTACTGGGTACTCCAAGATGGAAAGGATTCTCTGAAGAACCATTGTATATTCCTTGCATATCATTGTGTGCAGATACTTTGGTCATAAGGAATCAAAGTAATGACAAATGTAAGATATACATATACATATACATTATTTGTTTGAAATGTTTTGAATCAAATTTTTTGTATAACTAAAATTACTATCTGTCGCACAATATTGAAACTGTAAATCAAGAAACTATAAATTATCAAGTTTTTATTCGCACTAATATTCACATAGTGTTTTTGGTTACATGATTTTTCTTAATTACATAGTGTTATGCTTCTGATCATAACACTATGTAATTAAGAACCAAGATTTCTAAATAAATAATTTGTTTTTAATTAAAAGATTAGAACTAATACACCATATAGAAAACTTATCGGTTTTTTTTTACAAAATGAGTATTTTAATCAAATTAATACAAAGAATGTTTGAACTTATAAATCTTAAGAGTTCTCTAATTTAAGTGTTATATAGAGCATTTCATGTAAAAAGGATCCACCTAAAAATAAACTGTTTTGGATTTTTTCTAAATAATCATGGAAACCTGTTAGTGCACGTATTGTATGAGGTTAAAGCTTAAAAAAATAAGTATTATATGCCTTACATCCGAGATATTGAAGATGGGACGTTTTAAGAAATGTTTCTTTTTTTTACATTTGTAGCTAAAATTACAAAATATACAAAATTATTATAAGTATGTTTTGAATCATAATAAATTAAATAAGTTTTTAGAATCAAGATATTCGTTAGTAAAAACAATTTTAGGCACGTTAAAATATTATGTAATTATTCTTACAAATAATCAATTAATTTTAAAAGAATGTGGTTTTGACGAGGAACAATATTTATTTCTAAAAAAAAAAATAAGAATTTTGTTTAAAAAATATAAAAATATGAAAAATTTTTAAATATAAAAAAACTCTAAAATAACTTTTTTGTTTTATAGCTATTTGTTAAAAATATAGTATTTATGTAATAATATTAAAAAATTAGATTAATTAGAAATTTGATACTATTGAGTTTTTAGTTAATTTTTGGAAAAAAATATTTGTTTACAAGGGGATCCCATTACGATCCCAAAATTTCCTTTGTGGCACCATATTCTACATATATTGAAGTATTTTTGAGAATTTGTTACAGATTTTTTAAAATGGAGAATTTGCCATGTTGGATCCACAATTTTTTTTGATAATTTTTTTGAAAGACACGTCTTACTTAAATTATACTAATAAAATTTATTTCCGATTTATTTCAATTTTTAATGGCAGAAATAATATTTTTTGGCAATTTATTCAGTTTTTGCAATTATAAAATTGCAATTATAAAATGCATAAGCATTTTAGTCGCCATATTAGATCGGGCAGTGTTAATTTCGAAACGCGCCACATGGCATTCGAAAGTTTACACTAATACCTAAATTTTGAGCAGTCAGAAAAGTTTTTTTAGTGAAAACTCTTCTAATCGCAATCTGTCCGATTTCACATATATATATATATATATGAGCATGTGCGTGTGTGTGTACAAGTTTATATGTAAGACTGTTGAAGAATGTGAAGAAGCGATCGACTAATGCTGATTAAGAAAAAGCGCTATAGAAAAGTATTTTGAGAAGAATACGCATATTTAAAGTAAATTTAACATTTTTAAGAAAAAGAGTTTATTTATGTAAGGATATACGAAAACAAATCAAAATACAAATTAAATTGCTCGCGACGAATAGAAAAAGTAATTTTGGTAAAGCGAAAGATAGTTACACTCGAATGGTCGATAGCTAACTGTAATTTTAAATAATATCGATTTCAAGGACCTGTCGCAAGGGTGTTATTGCTGAACAGCTAATTCGAAGGTTGCGAGGCCCGACGAGACGCGCGGTAAGACGCGCGAGACGCGAAAAAAAGATAACCAGCGCTCGTCGAGCCACTGCATGGCCTTCTCAAGAAATCCATTATTTTGGAATAACGACAAAAAACGCAGTGCAATACGAGCAAAAAATTATCGAGATTATTAAATTATAAAATAAAAATTAATACAGCAGATATTTTAACATTGATGTTTTCGATTTATACATAAGTATTATTTGACTTTATGAAAGTCAATTCTCATCACAATGGCCAATTGTGTTATAGAACAAAAAGTAAAAAGTTAAAAAGTGGTTTTTAATTTACATATTTATAAATGGTGTTCAATTTTAATCGACACACTTAAACTATTTTATTTTTTATTGTACAACATAAATGATTTAAACAAAAGTTGTTGAACTATCTATTTCACCAAGTAAAACTACATACAATATTTCTTCTACGATAAAACCAAAAAATCTAACAGTTACACTACGACTTAGCCACTTCTTATTAAACATATATAACGAAAATATTTCATTTTCTCAATCTCTTCGTTTTTTCAGATTTTACCTTGATCCAAAATCAAGAAAATCTATGTATCTAATTTAACGAGCAAGATTATAAGGCTCAACATTCTCAAAACTATCTCTGGTATCAGATGAGGTACTTATCCAGCAACAATTTAACTATATAGTAAAGTCTTATTAGATCTGTCTTGAATTGGAAAAGTCAAATCTTTCATTTTCTCGAAGAAATCTCTTTATCAGAAAGTCTGCAAATTACAATTTGCCTCTCTAAGAACAGTTATGGACACACTCCTACTAATGTTCTACGAGATAGGATTTAATCCTATAGGTTCTATAAGATTTAAATAATGAACAATCACTGAACACTATATTTTTAAGAAATTTTTTAAGAAATTTTTTGTGCAAAATCGTAACTCGTTTGTTTCATTCTCTGTTCGATAATAATTTATTCATATACAAAGCGACGTGTTTTCCCCTCAAATTCGCCGTTATTAACGTGTGCTATCGAACCATGAGCTTTCGCATCGTGTATACACGACTCTTCTTCCTTTTTCACCCCCAAATAAATAATCAGCTTTCTGAACTCAGTATTTTTTAAGGATTTCGATTAAGAGATCTTCAATTTATGGTCGTCTTTATCTTGGATTGCAAATTCGAAAATTTTTTTTCTTTTGCCTCGGTCATCACTGACACAGTCGGTACATCAGATCCTTTCTCTCTCCTTAGATTAAAATAACTGCCGTCAATGGCGGATGAGTTTGTCGTTATTTCTTCTTCTTGTTATTAGTCTTGTGGCCGGTCTTCTTAATCACATGACTAGCATCCTTTCTTTTAAAATAATTAAGTTAACGCTCTTATAAAATTAAAAATAATCAATTAATTAGAGGCCAATAAATATGTTTTATATATAACTAAATTTATTTTATCATCCACGTTCTTCACATTTAATGGAAAAATTTATAAGCAAACATATAAGACTCTCATGGGATCCCCGTTATCACCAATTATCTCAGACTTATTGTTAGTCATGCAAGATTTAGAAAACTCAGTATTGAGCACTAGTGATGTTGAGATGTCATTCTACTTCAGATATGTAGATGACATTATATTAGCAACTTTGATTAATATGATCAATAACATTGTAAAAAAATTTAATAGTTACCATGAGCGACTATTTACAGTTGAGTGGGAGGAAAACCATTGCATAAGTTTTTTAGACTTAAATATAGACTCTATTGACAACAAAATATACTATATAGACTAGTTCTAAATAAAAAAACTTTTTCAGATAGAATGCTATCATTTTACTCTAATCACCCGATATGTCATAAAATAGAAACCATTTATAACTTAGTTGGCAGATCTTTGTTACTATCAGATCCGAAATTTTATTTAAAAAATTTAGAACTAAGCATAAATATTTTACGCGACAATGGGTTTCCTCTCGATCACATTTTTAAAGAAATTAACCGTAGAATTATTTATCTTATTAACAACAAATGGAAAAACAAAATTGAAGTGCGTGAACAGTCGAGAAAGACATTAACAATGATTTTATTGTCATCCCATACATTGAAAATATCTCAGAATTGATTGCATCGGAAATAAAGTCGGATTTAAAAGTAGGATATAGAACACTATATGAAATGGACAAATTTATTAAAATCCAAAGGACAAAAATAACTTGTCAAGCAATTCAAACGTAATCTACAAATTAAATTGTTTTAGTTGTGATGCATCTTACGTAGGCCTAACAAAGCGACAACTTCGTTCCCGAATTAAAGAACATATAAATATTCTAGTTTTGAGACTTTCGCATTGGAATCATCAATGCAAAAGGTTTTTGGATGGATGCCGCGTGGTTTAACAGCGTAATGCTGACGTTTCGCAAACGTTGCAATTTGCATCTTCAGGGCTGAGAGCTCCGATATTGGAGCTCTCAGCCCTGAAGATGCAAATTGCAACGTTTGCGAAACGTCAGCATTACGCTGTTAAACCACGCGGCATCCATCCGGAAACCTTTTGTATTGAACATATAAATAACATAAAATTAGACTCATTGTCAGTGAAACATTCAGTAATCACAGAACCTATTATTAATTGTAATTATACTTTCAATTGGAATAATGTTAGGATTCTGGATCACAAACGTAATTATCACAAAAGACTTATCTCAGAAATGATACATATTAAGGAGCAAAAAACGGTCTCAATTCCAAAAAAGATACAGAAATGCTAAACAATGCTTATTTTGATATCCTCGACTTACTGAGTGACAAATAAAATTTGACTTGTTATTGTTGATGTAATTAGTTACTTTGTCTCTCGAATGTTCTATATTTGTTTTAAAATCAGTTAATCGAATAACTTTCACAGTATGTATACGGTTGAGTTAAGATGTCGAGACATAACATATACATATAATCTCCACATACATATAATTAAGATAGCAGCACATATGTGAATTGTTTAAATTATTTAAAGTATTTATCCAATAATTATTAGCGGTCTAAAAAGATTCATTATTAATTTCAAGTTCATTTTTAGTTTATAATTTACTTTACTTTATGACTAATACTTAACAATGAGTTGGAACATATTTTTGACTTTACATACACACCAATTGACAAGCATCTTATCGTCTATCAACGATGAAAGCTGTCTTACAATAATGTTCGGCTAACGATTATTTATACTTAAGTTCCGACTAATT